GATCTCAGACTGATTCTGATCCCTGCTCTCTTTAACATGTGCTAAGCACCCAATGCACAGACAAAGGTCTGACCCTCTCAGTCTGACTTAGGTCCAGAGGATCTTTTGGGATAGATTCATAATACAGTTTGACATTTCCTCTGCTCAATCTTTGCTTCTTCTATTCTGTTCTGAAAATATTAACCCTCAAAGCAAGAGAAAACATCTATTGTCATAATGTGACTAAAGGAGGGTTTCTACTCAGTATAAGGTAAATAGTTCTAAAAAGATAATTATTTTATAAACTATTAAATGATTAAGCAATTAGCATGAATTTTAAAGATTTATTTTAGAAAATTTATTATTTGTGCAAAAATATATGTGCCTGAGAAAAGGTAAGCAGCAGGAAGCAGCAGGGAAGGGTCACCTTTGCCTTAGTTTATGGAAGGTTGCGATCTATAATAAGATAGCCAGCTCACTGGGAGGTCTTAGAGGGCTTAGGTGTGGGAGTGTATGCACAAGTGTTGCACAGTGAGAGAACTGCAAGGGTCCTCAAGTGGAACCTTTTTGTCTTGATGGAACAATGGAAAGATTTGTTTAGTTGAAGATTTTCCTAGCCCAATGCATATACTAATATTTTTAGATTGATGTATTTTCCTATTTTTAAATAGATTAAATAGGAAAAAGAGCAAAGTCTCATTTCTTATCCTTGTCTCCAGGGAGATAAGCTCATATTACTCCTACATAAACTCCATTGCAATCATTTTTATTTGTTGGAGATACTTTCAGAGTTCATTTGAAAGATAAAAAATAAAGTGGGAATCTTTGTCACTCCATTTACACAAAAGTCAGGACACTGTATTATGGGGTCCTTGATATCAACCTCCTCACATAGTATTATTCCAGTACCTTTAGCTGTTAGGACACAGAAATATCCCTGATACATGTTGATGGTTTAAACATATTTGATTTTATGGATGTTTAGTTGTTTAGTTCTTAACCCGTGGGTACTAGAATTATTTTATCATAAAAGCATTTCATTTAAATATTTTGCCAAATATTTTTAAATGAAATTAAAAAACAGAAATTTCAAAGAACCATGCACATTCTGAAAATCTCAGTCAAAATCCCATCTACAGGGTAGAGACAACCATAATCTGGATGCCTGGGGTTCTAATTGTCAGGGGAACATTAGTAAGCCTCACTAGGAACTGCCCTTCACCCTAGCATGGCTTTCTCTCATGGAACAGCCTCTGGCAAAGAGGAAGGCTCTAAAGACCCAAGTATTTGTTCTCTACTGACACAATTTTTGGGTGTGGGGATGTGGGGGATGTGGGGCTGTGTGGGAGGTATGGGGATGTGGGTGTGCGTGAGAGATGTGGGAGGTATGGGGGTGTGGGGGTGTGGGAAGTATGGAGTTGTGGGGGAGATGTGGGAGGTATGGGTGTGTGTGGGAGGTATGGGGTTGTGGGGGAGATGTGGGAGGTATGGGGGTGTGGGGTGTAGAGGTGTGTGGAAGATGTGGGGGTGTGTGGGAGATGTGGGAGGTATGGGAATGTGGGGGTATGTGGGAGGCATGGGGGTGTGGGGTGTATGTGTTGAATCTCACATAAATTGAGATATTTAAATAGATTTAGTCTAAAGGAAGCAAAACTAAGGTTGATCTTTTACAGTGTTGATTTTAGTCAGCATTTTAAACATTTTGATTTATCATTTTTGTCTGAAAAAACTTACAATATTTTGTTATTTTAACTTTTAATTGTGTATTACTGAGAGAGAGAGAGAGAGAGAGAGAGAGAGAGAGAGATACTCCTATATATTCTTCTGTCAAACAGTATGTACAATTCTCTTGGCATATTTTATGATGTTGGAGTTTGAACCTGGGACCTTTTACATGCTAGCCAAGCACTCTGCTACTAAGCCATACCTCTAGCCCTCTACATTTTTTTTTTGCTGTGACTGTAAAGTTTTTTCAAAGCACAAATTTTGAAAGTATTTTCTCCCACTCTGAAGTGTCATTTTAATTTTCTTAAGATTTTTTTTCAAAGAAGTTTCACATCATTTCTAAAAAAAAACCCTGAAATATCTTAATTGCCAGATTCCTGCAGCACTATTCAAGGTACAGGTACAGTACAAGAGACCTTAGTGACTGCCAAAGGACAAGTGGATACATAATGTGGCACATAAAAACATTGTAGCACTACCTATCACTTCAAAAGAAGATTTTGTGACAACTTGGATGACCTGGAAGACAGAGCATGACTGAAATAAACCAGATGCAGCAGAACATTGGTGTGTGGACTATAAAGAGGACAGACATCTGGGGTTGAGAATACAGTGGTTATCAAAGGTAAGAGGTAAGAGGAGGAAGGGTAAGAAGAAGTGAACTAAAGGGCACCAGTGAGAAGGGATAAGTCTTCAACCTCTATTGCCCAGGAGGTGACCATTAATAATAATGAATACTGCACATTTCAAAACTGGTAAAAGAATACATTTGCTTCTAATTACAAAAGCTTACCTGAAGTGGTAAACATGCTATTTGATTTGATGTAAAATATTTTATAATATATACATATTATTAAAGGATCATACTATATCCCATAGAATTAATGGAATTAGTAATTTGTCAATTAATTTTTTAAATCTAAAAACTGGACAGATTTTTTTTCATTATACTAACTATATAGCAGTCTACTGTCACTGCAGGTAGGTCATAATAATGTACAAAATGATTATACTTATTTGGTGAAATAACTTACAAGAGACAAGACAACTTATTTCTTTTTTAAAAATTATTTATTTATTTTACATCCTGACTGCAGTTTCCTCTCCTTCCTCTCCTCCTAGTCCTTCCCCTAACTCCCTCTGTTCCCACCCCCCAATTCACTTCTCCTCCATTTCTGTTCAGAAAAGGGCAGCTCTCCTATGAGTATCAACAATCATGACATATCAAATTGCAGTAAGACTAAGCACCTCCCCTTGTATTAAGGCTGGGCAAGGAGACCCAGTATGAGGAGTAGGGTCCCAAAAGCCAGTAAAAGACTTAGAGACAGTCCCTGTTCCTACTGTTAGGAGTTTCACAAAATGACCAAGCTACACAACTGTCACATATATGCAGAGGGCTTAGGTCAGGCCCATGCAGGCTCCCTGGTTGTCAGTTCAGTCTCTGTGAGCCCCTATGAGCCCATGTTAATTGGTTCTATGGGTTTTATTGTGGTGTCCTTTCCCCCTCTGGCTCCTACAATCATTTTTTTTTAATTTATTTCTTAACCCTCACATGAGTTTCTTGTACAAGTGATAAAACAAAAGATTTTTTAAATTTTTTCAGTCTTTCATAAACTGAAATGAGTATTAACTGAAATTCTAATTCCACTAGTTTTACGATACTTTCACTGTAGTTGACATTTCAGGTGTTTTGTTTTGTTTTGTTCATCCTTAAACAGAAATGAGACTTGATCTGACATGTGATGGAGAAATGAATGAAAATTCAGAATATCTTGTCCCAGATACGTAACATGATTCAAAAGTAGAAAAATATGGTAATAAACTCAACAGAATCCACCAAGAAAGAAAGCAGGCAGGACCAAGAGACAACACCCAAAGTCCTGGCAGCTCATGGGCAGGAGGTGGTCTTGGAGAATAACAATGCAGATGTTGTTGAACTCGAGTTTGTGCCCAGCTTTGCTGCTCAGTAATCAGAGTATGTCTTTTGGTCTCTACCCTTTTGTGAGTAGAGAATCTTAGAAATTGATTCTGGGGAGGAATGATGAAATTACAAACCCATTGGTTTGACATTTCCAGACAGAAGGCTCTACAGATCTAACAAAGTCTATTGGCTTCCATTCAGAGGAATGAGATGCATATTTCCTTTGACAACAATAAACCCTGACAAAGATCATTTTTACAGGTTTTTAATGATAGAAAATTTTCAGCACATAGAAGAGAACAAAAGGCACAATGGGGAGCTGTGCTCTCATCAGCAGGTTATTATGATGGCAGCAAGGGATGCCTTGACCCTGGCACGCTGCCCGCATCAGCTTTATTTATAATAGAGTTGGGTACTATACTGGCTGGGTTCGTGTTTCAACATGACATCAGCTAGAATCATCAGAGGAAGGGGCCTCAGTTGAGGAAATGCCTCTGTGAGACCCAGATGTAAGGTATTTTCTCATGTAGTGATCAATGTGGGAGGGCCCAGACCATTTAGGGTGGTGTCATCCCTTGGCCGTTAGTCCTGGGTTCTATAAGAAAGTGGGCTGAGCAAGCCATGGGAAGCAAGACCGTAAGCAGCACCCCCCATGGCCTCTGCATCAGCTCCTGCCTCCAGGATCCTGCCCTGTTTGAGTTCCTGTCCTAAATTCAGTGATGAATAGCAATGCTGAAGTGTAAGCCTAATAAACCCTTTCCTCCCCAACTTGTTTTTTGGTCATGGTGTTTCATCATAGCAATAGAAACCCTAGCTAAGACAGGTACGAAATCAGAGATATGTTTTTAGCTAACAGCAGATGATTATATAGCTAGTATCCGATGATGTTTTCTAAAGAAATCAATTAATTGATGAATGAATCATTCTCCATTAATCCAACTCATTTAACTTCCCAGAAACTGAGTCTTCCTTAGAGAAAAGATGAATATTATGAGGTGAATGTAATATTAGGAAATTATTCAGAGAACTCTATCCCCTGGAAACATGTTCAAGGGCTAGCACTTCAGAGAAAAATCAGGCTATTTTTCTAAATTCTTGTTAAGACAAAAAACCATATTAATGGAAGCTCCTAAGGGGCGTAAGGAGCGAGAAACGCTGCTGGGTGCTCATTGCTGGTGAAATTAAAATGATCAGACCTGAGTTTCCTGTGATATCCTGCTGATTGGACATCACCCTGAACCTTAAGACATGGTACATGTGTGAGCTGAGAGCATTAAAAGTATGGTTTTGTTTTGTTTTGTAGGAAGACTAGATCCAAATCAATGCAATTTAGTCTCTTTCGGTGGTGGATCTCAGGTCTTAAAAATCTCTTGAGGTGCTTGCTTCTGCAGCACATTTGCTAAAATCGGAACAAAGAAGATTAGCATGGCACCTGTAAAAGGATGACATCAAAACTGGTGAAGTGGATCGTGTGGGTATCGTTTCACAGGACCGGTAGTCCCTTCACCAGTTCCAGAAGGTTCTAGATGGAGTAGAGGGTGGGTCAACCTAAGGCCCAGCTGAGGGCCTGGATGGTAGCCAAGCGGATGAGTCCAGGCCCCTGTGGCCACCCACCTTGGTCGCTGGGGTGAGGTCAGCTCTTGTGAATGCATGTCCTCAGTGTCAGTTCATCCTGGCCTGTGGGGAGGGGTGGGGGCAATCTCTCTAGCGTGCTGGCACCAGCTCTCTTACTGTAGTGTCCAGTGAGAGGCAAGACAGTGGCAGCCACAGGTTATGCCCCAGAGGAATTCTGGTGAGGATCCAGTGATGATGGTGTACCAGAAAACAGAGGCCTTGATCCAGACCAGTGAGTGACTCATTGCAATAAACATTTGCCAGTAAAACTGATGGGACAAACGGGTGTACTATAAGGCAAAATGAAGTCTCCATTGCCAGCAGGATGAATGAAGAGGTGTTGGAGAAGCAGGAAAGAAAGAGAATCAAAGAGACTTTTATGTTGAAGTGGTTTTTGCTTTCGCTTTTGCTTTTGTTCACTTGCTTGCATCCTTTGATTTGTTTCCTTATGTGGGGGCCGTGGTATGGATGGGGGGAGGAAATGGGGGGACTGGGAGATGAACAGAATTAGGGTGCATGATGTGAAACTCCAAAAGAGTCAATAAAGAAGTTAAAAAAAATTACACTTAAAAAATTTTGTGAAGTGTTCCAGTTCCATATGTTTTGGCCACCATAAATCCAGCCTCCAACTCAGGTGGAGACCCCCTGCTCAACCACTGACAAGAAAGGAAACAGAAAACAAGGAACAAAATGCCCATCCAACAAAGACAAACCCCAGAAACTGGCACCAGGACCTATAATCACTCCAAACCCAGATGTCTAGGTACCAGCATAAGAACACAAACACCATAAGAACAAAGTCAATAAGAACTTCCTGAGTGCTGAGATTAAAGGTGTATGCCACCACTGCCTGGCCTCTATGGCTAAATAGTGGCTTAGCTCTGCACTTGGATCTTCAGGCAAGCTTTATTTGTTAGGTCACAAACAAAATATCACCACACTACAGACAGTGACAGAAGGAAAACTCTAACCCAGGGAAGTTAACTATACACATATAAACACAAGCAATAGATAATCTCATGCCAACAAAACCAAAAGAAGGGAAACACACACACACACACACACACACACACACACACACACACACACGAGAGAGAGAGAGAGAGAGAGAGAGAGAGAGAGAGAGAGAGAGACATAATATCACCACCACCAACACCAACTACAACAAAATGACAGGAATTAAAAATCATTGGTCATTGATAGCTCTCAGTATCAGTGATCAATGGACTCATTTCCCCAATAAAAAGACACAAACAGAATAGATGTGAAAACAGGATCCATCCTTCAGTTGCATACAACAATCGCCTCTCAATATCAAAGATAAATATTACTTCAGAGTAAAGATAAGCAAATAGCCCCTAGAAGCAAACTGATATAGCCATTCTAATATTTAACAAAATAGACTTCAAACCAAAAATAATTAAAAGAGATGAAGAAAGACACTTCATACTCATCAAAGAAAAAATCCACCAAGATGACATTCAATTCAAAACATCTATTTCCCAAATGCAAGGGCACCCACATTTTTAAAAGAACCATTACTAAAGTTTAAATCACACATTGACCCTCACATATTGATAGTGGGAGACTTCAATGCCCTGCTCCCAACAAAGGATAGGTCATCCCGACCAAAACTTAATAGAGAAATATTAGAGCTTAAAGATACTATAAACCAAAAAGACCTAGCTGATATCTACAGAACATTTCAGCCAAACACAAAATAATATACCTTCTTCTCCAGACCTCAAGGAGATTTCTTTAAAACTGACCATACTTATCACAAAACAAATCTCAACAGATACAATCAGACCTGCATCCTACCAGATCACCATGGATCAAAGCTTAATTTCAGAAGCTTAATTTCAAGAACAGAAACAACAGAAAGCTTACAAGTTCATGGAAACTGAAAAACTCTCTACTGAATGAAAACTGGGTCAAGACAGAAATAAAGAAGGAAATTAAACACTTCCTAAAATACAGATAAAATGAATGTACAACATACCAGACTTATAGGACACAATGAAAGTTGTGCCAAGAGAAAAGTTCATAGCACTAAGTGCCTGCATAAAGAATTTAGAGAAATCTCATACTAGCAACTTAACAGCACACCGCGAAGCCGAGGCTCTAGAACAAAAGGAAGCAAGCTCACCCAAGAGGAGTAGATGGCAGGAAATAATCAAACTGAGGGCTGAGATCAATAAAATCAATAAAAAATACAAAGAATCAATAAAACAAAGAGGTGGTTCTTTGAAAAAAAAATCAACAAGATAGACAAATCTTTGTCCAAACTAACTAAAAGACAGAAGGAGATTACCAATTAATGAAATCAGAAATGAAAAGGGGAGCATAACAATAGATACCAAAGAAATCCAAACAATCATTACATCATCCTTTAAAAACTTGTACTCCACATAACCGGAAAATCTAAGGAAATAAATAATTTTTTCAATAGGTACCACTTCCCAAAGTTAAATCAAGATCAATTAAAGAACTTAAATAGACTTATAATCCATAAGGAAATAAAATCAATCACTAAAATTCTCCCCACCAAAAAAACCCAGGGACAAGGGACAGATGGTTTTAGTGCAGAATTCTACCAGATTTTCAATTAAGAGTTAATGCTAATACTCCTCAAATTATTCTACAAAATAGACGCAGAAGGAACATTGCCACGTTCATTTTTATGAGGCTACCATCTCCCAGAAGGAACATTGCCACACTCATTTTTATGAGGCTACCATCTCCCAGAAGGAACATTGCCACATTCATTTTTATGAGGCTACCATCAACCTGATACCCAAAACCACACAAAGATTCAAGAAAGAAAGAGAATTACAGAGCAATCTCCCTTGTGAACATTTATACAAAAATGCTCAACAAAGTACTTGCAAACTGAATCCAAAAACATATCAAAATGATCATCCACCATTATCAAACAGGATTCATCCCAGAGATGCAGGGATGGTTCACCATATGAAAATCTGTTTTTGTTTTTGTTTTTTTTTTGGGGGGGGGGCTTTGAATATTTTCTATATTTTTTTATTTATTTTTTAAATTACACTCATCACTCATGATATTCATTACTTACACTCATGATATTATTCACATTTGTGATATTCATAGATTACATTTGCAGTATTCATTCAATTAAATATATATTATATATATTAATTTTAAATGTCAAATGTCATTTCTTGAAGGGGGTAGGAGGTTAAATACAGGCTTACAGCACAATGGGAGGACCCCAGAGGGCAGAAGTTCGCTACTGATGTTTTACAATATTGCATCTAAGCTGTTAGTGCCCATTATTCAGGATACACAGACAAAGAAATTCCCTTAAGCAATCAGGAGGGTGGAATCTGGCAGGGAATCAGCATTGGGAGGATATCAAGGTCAAGGTCTGCAAGCAAGGTAACAGTTACCCAAAATGGGGGCGAGGGCCCTGCAGGTCCCCCTTTTATTAAAAAATGAGCTTCTGAATTGGGTTGTGTGGGACGTCAGCAAGTCACCTTACCTGCCATGGAGATGCCTGCCCAGGCCACACAGGTGCTCTGTCTTAGGTTGGTGAGTGCCCCCCAGGAATTACCTGTCTCTGAATACTCATTATCATACTGGCTCAATCATGTGTGAGCTGCGTTGTTAATTGCTGCCAAAGATCTCAAAGTGGCACTGGGCTTGCAATCTGTGTGTTCGATACAGAAAACCTGTTAATGTAATCCACCATTATAAACAAACTGAAAGAAAAAAAAGACACATGATCATCTCATTAGATGCCCAAAAAGCCTTTGACAAAATCCAGCACCCTTTTATGGTAAAAGTATTGGAGAGATTATGGTTATCAGGGGCAAACCTAAACATAATAAAGACATTTTATAGCAAGCCCATAGCCAACACCAAATTAAATGGAGGGGAACTCAAAGCAATTTCACTAAAACCAGAAACAAAATAAGGTTGTCTACTCTCTCCATATCTATTCAATACAGTACTTGAAGTTCTAGCTAGAGCAATAAGACAATTGGAGGAGAACAAGGGAATATAAATTGGGAAGGAAGAAGTCAAAAGTATCATTATTTACAGATGATATTATAGTATAAATAAACTACTTCAAAAATTCTACTAGGGAACTCCTACAGCTGATAAACATCTTCTGGTAAGTGGTTGGATACAAGATTAACTTAAAAAAAAAAAAAGCCTGAAAAACGAAAAAAAAAAAAAAATCCAAGCCCAGTAGTTCCCCTATATACAAAGAGCAAATGGAATAACAAAGAAACCAGGGAAACAACACCCTCCACAATAGCCACAAACAATATAAAATATCTTGGGGTAACCCTAATCAAGTAAGCTAAAAACTTGTATGAATAAAAACTTTAGGTCTTTGAAGAAAAAATTTGAAGAAGATATAAAAGATGAAGCAATCTCCCATGCTCATGGATTGGTGAGATAAACAGTAAAAATGACCATCCTAACAAAAGCAATCTACAGATTCAAAGCAATCCTCATCAAAATTCCAACACAATTCTGTACACACATTGACATATGTACATACTCAATTTCATGTTGGAAAACAAAAAGTCCAGTATAGCTAAAACAATCCTGAACAATAAAAGAACTTCTGAAAATATCACTAACCCTGATTTCAAGCTGTACCAAAGAGCTATACTAATTAAAACCCACATGGTATTGGCATAAAAAACTGATCAATGAAATGATTAGAAGACTCAGACATAAAAATCCACATACCTATGGACACTTGATTTATTTATCTTTTATAAGGCAGCAAGAAATACACACTGGAAAAAAAGAATCTTCAACAAATGGTTCTGATCTAACTGGATGTGTGCATGTAGAAGAATGCAAATAAAC